TCTATTATCTATCTATCTATCTATCTATCTATCTATCTATCTATCTATCTATCTATCTATCTATCTATCTATCTATCTATCTATCTATCTATCTTTTTTGGCTGCTATTTTAATATTTTTTCCATCTCTGCAGAATTTCCTACCTTTCTGCATTCAGGAAGCTCATATGTACTGGAGGCAATGGGATTCTACTACTGTTGCTCCATAGTTACTACTATTTGAAGTATTGATAATCTAGTGCAAAGTTGGATTACCTCCAAGTTAATTGTACTTTGTTCTCTAAAATCCCAAGGTTAGCCAACAAGAGTCAACTAGTACAAGAGCCAATAAACATACCTAGAATTACAAAACAAGATATCTTTCAATTCAGGAATTATTTTTCAATGTTTCATCATCTTTTTACACAAAAAATCAATTTCCAGCTACTTCAGAGATTTAGTTATTAATAATTTTCACTTTTTAAAAATTTAATTGTATTTTATGTTCTATTTTTTTAACTGTTGTTAACTGCCTTTACTATCAACTAAATACAGAAATGAAGTATCAATCAAATAAATATTTTTTCTTTATAAAGCATCCTACTTTAGCTGGAAAAAGAAAAGGCATGTTGTTATTCTGTTCAGAAAAATGTGGACAACAGCAAGATACCTCTGTGGTAATTAATTTGCTTCCCTTGATTTGGCTGCCAGAGGCACCACGGGGCGGTCTTTTGCTATTTCCAGGTCGGCCCCATGGGCCAGTTTTAAGCACCCCCATGGGCCGAATGTGGCCCACGGATCTTGAGTTTGACACCTCTAACCTAGATGGTTGTTTAACTTTATTATCTTGCATACAAACAGATCTCTTGCATCTACATCAAGGTTTCTCAACCAGGTTTCTGTGGAACCCTAGGATTCCGTAAGAGGTTATCAAGGGTTCCCTCGGAGTTCCTCATTTAAGCAAATGAAAGTCTTCAAACCTCTAATCCTAAATTGGTTCACAGTAGTGGGCAGAGGGCCAGAACTGTGTACATGCATGCCAATGAGGAGGTGAGCAAAATCCACACTGAGTAGTGAGTAAGGAGTGAGGAGGAGACAAGGAAAGAGAAGAACAGCAGGTGGTGGGAGAGTATGCTCAAGAGAGGAGCGACCCCCCTGGGCCTCTTTGCTGGGACATTCCTTGCTAGCATGCCAGCTTGCCAGTCTGATTTTCGGCTGGTGCAGCAGCTTGGTGAACGAGCAAGTGCAGGAGATCTAGGGCTGGGTTGGCCAAGATACCAGTGGCAACAGGATCCACCCATGGGGAGCAGAGAAGAAGGCATGGGAAAGGAAAACTTTAATTCTTTATTTTTAGTTTAAGAACACTATTAATGCATATATACATGACTACACATAAAATGAATATAATAATTTTGTAACTTCTGGCCTATATTTGAACCTAAATCTTCAGGAGTTTTCTGAAGCCAGAATAATATTTTAGAGGTTCCACCAGACTCAGAAGGCTGATTTAGAGTCTTATACCAGAATGATAAAGTTTTCACTGGTCACATGGTGTTTATTTAAGGGATTTGTGACTGTTAATGTATACACATGGATTGCAATGCAAAATAATATTTTTGTTAAATTGAATATTTTTTGTTAAGTTGAAAGCAAGAACAGGTTGAACTCCCTGATATGAAACATGTCTTAATAATGTTAATCCAATTGAATTAAAAATGTTACTTCATTTTAAGAATTATTACTTAGAAATAATAAGTATGTTTGAATAGCTTCAAAATAGAGCATTACAGGTGTAAAATTAAAACACATAGTTTTTGCTACATTGATCCTCTTTTGTCTCACACTTTTCTTTACATTTTGCCATATAAGAGTAAGGAATGGAAGGAAATGCATTTTTTAAAAAATGTTTTTAACTCTTTAAATAATCTTGGATTGTATTCTGAACAACAGGAAATATACAGAAAAAAGAAAGGACAATGTTGGCGGAAGCTATTATAAACATGGAAAACAATATTATCATTTCTTCTAACTGAAATGAATTATAAATAAAACCCTGGAATTTTAATTTATAATAAAAATCAACTTAGCAAGGTAACTCACTAACATTTTCTTCACTAAATGTTCTCTTTCCTGTCTAAGTAAATGTTAATTTAGTTTGAATTGATTGAATATTAAATGCTTCTAGTTCTGTTTTCTCAAAATGATCCGTGTTGGGAGTTGCAATTCAAAGCATTCTGGAGGCTATCAGATTAGGAGAATGTCACTGAAACATCATGAGAAACCATATACCGTACTTTTCAGAGTATAATACACACTTTTCTCCCCCCTAAAATAGGGTGGAAATGGTGCATCTTATACATCAAAAACAGCCATTTTTGGGCTCCAGAAACCCCACCCCATGAGTCCTGTTTTTCACAAAAACAGGGTGCGCAGACTGTTTGGGAGACCTGCAGAGTGCTCTTAGGGGCTGGGGAGGACAAAAACATGATGTATGGGGAGGTTGGGAGGAGAAAAACAGGCCCATTGTTCATAAAATGGGGGGTGTTTTGCCCTCCCCAGCCCTTAGGAGCACTCTGGAGAACTCTGGAGGCCTCCTAAAAATCTGGTTGCCCCATTTTGGCAAAGAATGGGTGAAAACAGGTCCATTTTTGCCCTCCCAAACCCCCCAAGAGTGCAGTTTTTGCTCTCTCCAGCCCCCAAGACAGAGGTGGGTTGCTACCAGTTCACACTGGTTCGGGCAAACTGGTAGTGGACTTTGGGACTGGGTCGCCGAACTGACTGAACTGGCCATGCCCCCGAACCAGTTCCCTGGTCACCCATTACATTGCCAGCATGGTTTTTACTCACAATGTTCTGCACGTGCCTAGCACAAGAAATGCGTGGCACGCGCAAGCAATGCACGGCACGCACACACATGAAACAATCCACAGTAATGCTGGGAGCAGCCAATCCTGCCCCAAGAGCACTCTGCAGGCTTCCCAAACCCTTTGCCAAAACACTTTTCTCCCCCGTAAAATAGGGTGGAAATGATGCATCTTATACATCAAAAACATAGGGTTTGGGAAGCCTGCAGAATGCTTCTAGGGGCTAGGGAGGGCAAAAACTTTTTTTCTTGTTTATCCCTTTGAATCGTATATTCTGATGCATCCTACAGTCCAAAAAACATGGTAATCATTCTAAGAAGATGAACAATTGCACTTTTATATCATATTTTATATAATAGTAAGACTGGTGCGAACGAACTGATCCTTAGTTCACTACTTTCTCAATCTGCATGGCATGTCTCTTTCCAGGCTTCGTGAATTAAGGAAGACCATGGAGGATCCTTCATCCAAGAATCTTCTCTATTTTTGAAATATAGTTGTAAAAGAGTTATGTTCCTGAGTACTCCAATTCCTGGAAGGGATGATGCACAATTTTCCTTGAATAATACCACACACTCAAAACAAAACAAAACATTGACTGAATTATCAAAGCTGTTGGAAGGGTTGAACATTCAACGCAATTAAGCAGGTGCCACAATGCAGCATTTTAAGGACAGGAATCATAAAGAACTACAACAAAATTATTTTGTTAGTTGCAGATGAATACTTCAGTCTATTCATTTTCTTCTATGACATATGAACAGTGTTTATAATATAATATAATGACATACAGACCTGAAATAATATGGGAAGGAATAGTGTTGATGCCTCCAGCAGAAAAACAAATCCCTATTCAATAGAATGTAGCAGTATGGCTGTTTGTAAGAAAAATATCTTGGATCTCATACATTAATATAAAGTAACTCGTCATTATTTCAGATTCCTGTATGGTAAGCAATCCAACTTCGATAGTAAGTAACTCGTGTGTAGACTCCAGGTTTATTTGGCTTAGCACATTCATCTCCCCAGCTTACTATGCCAACAAGGTACCATATTCCTCTTGAATCAGATGTAACCAATGGTCCACCAGAATCACCCTAAAAGGGATGGAAGATCACTTTAGAAAGACCAGGAGAAAAATCTATAGTGTATATAATCATATGACAGATAGAACTGTTTTATCAAACATGATACCATCTAAAATGATTTCCCTTGACATAAAATCTTCTTAGAGGAAGATATAATGGGGTCATCTGAAAACCACATTTCTCTCCTGCCTCCCAAACTTTCAGGGCTGGACTTACTTGCCAACTTTAAGGGCTTTAAAATACAAATTAATATAGAAATGGAATAGAATAAACAAAGCAATAAAAATAAAGATCACATATTTCCGATCCTTAGCCATAGCTTTCCCATTCCTTTCCCCAGATGGACCACCATAACCCTGGAACTGCAACAACAACAACAAAAATGGCCATCCACATTTTGTATCTCCTAGATCACCTCTTTTTAAAAAGATTTTTAAAATTCTGCCTTTATTTTTTATGAATAACTCAAGGTAGCTAACATACATAATACTTTTTCATTCTATTTTCTCCTGTGAAGTAGCAATATAGCAGTAGACTTATATACCGCTTCATAGGCCTTTCAGGCCTCTCTAAGCGGTTTACAGAGAGTCAGCATATTGCCCTCAACAATCTGGGTCCTCATTTTACCCACCTCGGAAGGATGGAAGGCTGAGTCAACCCTGAGCCGGTGAGATTTGAACCGGTGACCTGCTGATCTAGCAGTAGCCTGCAGTGCTGCTTTTAACCACTGCGCCACCTTGGCTTTGAACCGGTGACCTGCTGATCTAGCAGTAGCCTGCAGTGCTGCTTTTAACCACTGCGCCACCAAGTAGATTGGGCTAAGAAAAGATGACTGGCTCAAAATCATCCAGACGGCTTTTATGCCTAAGGTAGGACTAGAAGTCATAGATTCCTATTTTCTTGATCAGCATTTTAAATACTACACCAAATTCGTTTCCCACTCCCATCTAAATCTCTGTTAGTTAGTTATAGAAAAAGATGGTGGTGTATAATAAGTGGATTTTGCTCCAGCACAAAAATACTACCATAATATATGCAGGAGCCTTTTGCTGACTTCTAAGTTATTATTACATCTACCTGACAAGCATCGCTTCCACCTTCCAGGTATCCAGCACAGAGCATTCCAGATGAAATGGCTCCATTATATACTTGTCTTCTGTTGCAAACTTGATTACTTATAATTTTCACTTCTGTTTGACGAAGTTCACCAACACTGGGACCTGATTTTCAAATAATAATAATGTAGTATTTTATACATGAAAACTCATTATCAGGTTATAGAGTAGCACAATCACAAAACACATATGCTTAGTCTGTGATTTCGTCCATAGTATCAGAAATATTTTAAATTCCATCCCTTTAAAAGATATCTTCCTATGATAATGTAGCCTTCTACAATACATTATTGAAATTCAGAACATGGTACAAGCCGTCCATAGTCATTTTCCAGTTAACTAATAGGAAAGAAAAAGTCACCTCACAAAAATAGTGTCACTCTTATTCATTCTCTGGATAGGAGATAACAGAATTGCCTCACACTACTTAAGAAAAAGGAAACATATAGGTAATATATATAATTTGCAGCACATATATTTGAAAGTAGTTGTCAGGTAATGTTCCCCCCACCCCCTCCCCGATATTTAGTTTTCTTACAGATGAATAGGCATATGAATTTATATATTCTGCCTAAAAGAAGGCAAACAGGCTAGATGCTTGGCACCCCATCAGTCAAAAGGCTTAATTGCATATTATCAAAAAGTTCTAACTCTGTTATTCTGTGTTCTAACTAACATTTTCAGGTGGCTCTATCAGGTCCAGAATCTCAGAATTAAACATTAATTTCCACAATTGAACATTTATGTTTGTATTTATCTTATCTATACAACTGAAGGTGGCAAACATGCAACACATCTTCCTCACTCTATTTTTTTCTACAATACCTCTGTGAAATAAGAGAGTAACTGGTGTTTCAGAGAGAGAGAGACAGAGGGGGGAGGGGAGAGGGAGAGCCAGTTGTACAACTTGCCCAAAAATCACCCGGCTGGCTGCCACTTCTATGAAGGATTTGAACGCAAAGTGTCCTGCTTTCTAATCTGGTGCCTTAATCACCAGGCCAAATTGCAATAATGTCAAGTGTTTCTCTTCCTGAAATCTTTATGGATACACCTGTTAGAAAATAAGCCCACCTACTAGTGTAATTTGATGTCTCTATAAATCTGGAACCAACTCTACTGTGGTTAACAAATGATGAAAGAATGATTATTCACACAAGCAAACTAGCCCCAAATAAGGAGCTACTAACCATCATCTTTAAGAGCACCAAATCCTGTAACAGCACAAGTCGTATTTTCTGGAAAAATATATGAAGCTTCTGGAAGACAAACACGATGTACATCAGTTGTAAATTCCACTGGGGATGAAAGCTGTACAACAGCAATATCAAATTCATGGTTCATGACATTATTAGCATAATGCTCATGAATGATGATCTCGCGAAGATTCCTTCTCATTCTTGGAGGTCTTAGACGAGCCCCAAAACTACTTGTCCAACTTCTGACATCTCGGACACTGTAAGACATTAGAGAGTACAATTTATGCAACAAGCACTCTATTTGCATTTTCATTTATTGTAAACAAAACTTCACAATGGTTCCTTGCTAACTGTTTTCCAGTTTTTCTGCACTCTCACCACCATCAAACTTCAAGATTAGAAATACATTCAGTTTATAAAATGGAGCGTTTAGACATAACAGCAGATGTGAACAGAGATAAGAAGCTAAACACCATTCTCCTTTCTACAATTTTTTTAGTTTTGAACATATGAGACAAATTATATTAGTGGTAACATCTGTGAATAAATGAACTTTATTGATTAAACATGTTGGTTCAGATGTAGTCTTAGATGTATGGGGAAAGATTTACTCACCCTCTAAAACAATGAGCAGCAGTCACAAGCCAGTTATTGCTGATCAATGTTGCTCCACAACGATGAATGCCATTTAGCTGGAGACTAGCTTGCCAGGGCCATTCCCCTTCCCCTGCAATGGTTCCTCCATAGATTCTCTCCACAGATCTGTCCAGTCGTGTCCCACAGCCTGCTCCCAACCCCAAAAAAGAACATTCCTTTCAAGATAACAGAACACTTTATTAAAGGGAATCTGATTTTTTTTGCTAGAAGAACTATAAAAATCATAGTTTATTAGAACAATTTTTAATGTTAAAAAATAAACAAAAGACATTCTCACTAAAGATGTGGAATGTATTAAACAGCCATACATTATTCATTCACTGAATGTTAAGAGAACAGGTAAGGGAGTATCAAAACATAATTGTTTCGGTTCATGTGCTGTCTTGACATTGCTTTTTTCTTGTCCTAAATTATTCATTCACAGGAAAACAAGAAAAGAATTGCATAATCTGTTTTGAATACAGGAATTCCTCAATTTCTGCGCAATGGGGACAGAATGTCTGTTGCTAAGCCAACTGGTTATTAAATAAGTTGCACCCAAATTTATCATCTTTTAGCCATGTTCTTAAATGAATCACTTAAGTGACTCACATGGCTATTAAATGAATCTGGCTTACCATATAGATTTTGCCTGTTGGAAGCTAACTGGTAATCAAATGGTAATCATGTCACCACAGAGTGCTGCAACTGTAAAATGATAGAAACTGTCTTTCTGAAAACCCTTACTCTCCACCAAATAAATACAGAATGGCATTTCTGGGTTCAGGAAAGAAAATAGATATGTTTTGCAGGTTGCTGAGGTTAGCTCAGAAATATTGTTCTTTTTTCTCTTAGAGAAAATACTATGTAACAGTTCAGTTTTGTAGAAATATCTCATCCTTTAAAAAAATATGGAAAATCTAAATTGCAATATTACAAATGTAAATTTAAAATTTATTTTCATGACAGATTACTATAAGAAAAGAGGCTCCAGTATCTTTTTTGCCTTCGTAATGTTATTTAGTGGAAGTGACTTCAAATGTAATAATCAAGCTGAAAAAACAAATTCGAGATGATTGGGCATATTAGGAGATTAAAAAAGAGTTTCAGAATGATGGTGCTAAGGCAGTCTTTCTCAATAGGGCAGTCTTATCTTATACAGTAGGTGTGTCCAGTATCCCCAGTTATAAAATTAAAAAGATCCGGATAATAGCATCCAGAGGAAAATGAGGCTAAACACATCTATTTTTAACAAATCTGTTTTCAAACAGAAAGCCCTTCTGATACTTACAACTGTTGAGAAGATTTGTACCATTTTTTTCATTTATTTCTGAAAAAAAGGTAAAGATGACAAATATTAATTTGGCAATAGCAATATTTCCCCATCCTTCATCCTAAAACATATGTGATTCAATCAATCAATCAATCAATCAATCAAAATAGAGCTGGAAGGGGCCTTAGAGGTCTTCTAATCCAACCCCCTGTTCAAGCAAGAGAACCTATATACCATTTCAGACTGTCCAGTATCTTTAAAAACTCCAGTGATAAAGCACCCATAATTTCTGACAGCAGCTGTTCCACTGGTTAATTGTTCTCACTGTTAGGAAGTTTCTCATTAATTCCAGATTGCTTCTCTTCTTAATTAGTTTTCATTCATTGTTTCTGCTCCTGCCTATAGATGCTTTTGTAAATAAGTTGATCCCTTCCTCTTTGTGGCAAAAACTCAAATACTGGAATACTTGTCACCACTAGTCCTTCTTTTCCCTAGGCTAACCATACCCAAATCCTGCAATTGTTCTTCATATGTTTTAGTCTCTAGGCCAGTGATGGCGAACCTATGGCACGCAGAACCCTCTCTGTAGGCACACCAGCCATTGCCCCAGCCCAGCTCCACCACGCATGCATGGACAGCTCCCACCAGCTAGCTGGTCTTCGGATCTCTGGTGCGCATACACAGGGGCAGGGCGCATGAGAGGGATGCATAATTTGGGAATATTGGAAGAGGATGCTTTCATGCCAGTATCTCCCTTCCAGTAGGGTTGAATGCACAGCTTTTTAAATAAGTGTTAGATCGGGTAATGGAAAGGCACACACAGGCTACGGTAACAACAGCTCTTTATTAACTCAGTAGCAACTATGTACAATCCAGCGAAGGTTGAGTCTGATAGAAGCCCTTTTATAGGGAGCTGTCAGACCCTTCGACTAAAAAGATTAAACCTGTGTTCCTGCCGGAACAGAGGACCTTGGTGGAAACCATTATAACTGTAGCAAGTATCTAACACCCTTCTCCTCTTAGATGGAATAATCCTACTGGTAACGTAGTCATGCATGTAGATGGGCTTTTTGGTAGCTCTGCCAGACCTGCACAGTTCAGTCGGAGGGTATTCTTCGGACAGGTCGGATGGACCTGTTTGCTCCGCAGCTCTGCTTGGTGGAAGCTCCTGGAACCTTTCACAGGCCATGGCTGGAGCTTCTAGAGCCGGTTCGCTCGGAGCTCGCTGCGGGCCTGCAACACAAGAAGCTAAGTATCCCGGTGACTTCGGGTTTGAGTTGTCTGTGGAAGGAGTGACTTCGTGCTCCTTTTGGGTAGGGCTTTGGCTAACTTGTGCAGGAGTTACCTCTGGCTGTCTAAGAGTGGAGTTGGAGAGGTGGCCATGGAGTTGGTCAACGTGCCTTCTCCAATTCCGACCGTCCTCGAGTTCTACGAGATAAGAGCGGGGGCCAGTGAGGCCTATCACTGTGGCAGAAATCCACAGAGTTCCCCTGGCATAGTTGTGTGCATAAACTGAATCCTCTCGGCTAAAGTTCCAAATTTTGCTTGTGGAGTCTGAGGGTGATGCGGCAGAATAGTTTGGATGTAGCCAGTCTAAGTGGGACCTTAGCCGGAGACCCATGAGAAGCTTGGAGGGGTTTCTCCTTGTAGTGGCACTTGGCGTGATGTGTTGAATTAGCAGGTAATGGTCAAGCCGTCTCCTGGGCCCATCCTAGATAGGGCCTCTTTTGCAGATCTCACCATTCTCTCTGCCTGACCATTGGAGGCCGGACGGAATGGCGCGACCAGGGCATGTCTGATTTCCTGTGCTGCTAGGAAGGTCTCAAATTTCATGGCCGTGAATTGGGGCCCATTGTCAGAGACCAGGATGTCGGATGGCCATGTGTGGAGAAAAGTCTCCGTAGTACCTCAGTGATCGCTTCTGCCATAGTGGAGGTCATCAGGACTACCTCTAGCCATTTTGAGTAGGCATCCACAACTATGAAGAAAGTCTGGCCATGAACTGGGCCAGCAAAATCAATGTGCACCCTAGACCACGGTGCTTCAGATCGCTTCCACTCCTTAGCACGCGTTCTGGGGGAGCTGGTCTGGACTTCTGGCACAGTGTTCAGGTAGCCAACCATTCTTCGATCTCCCTGTCCATGTTAGGCCACCACATGTAACTCCTGGCCAAAGACTTCATCCTGACAATTCCAGGATGCCTTACGTGTAAAACTTCTAATACTGCAATGTGCAGTTTGGGTGGAACAACGACCCGGTCCCCCCACAGCAAATAGCCATTAAAAACAGATAATTCATCTCTCTTACAATAGTACATTTTGAAATCAGACCCAACAGGACCCTTGGGCCATCCCCTCCACACCCAGTTCAAATTTGTTTGATGATGGAGTCTTTTGCAGAGTGGTGGGAAACATCACTAGATGAGGCAGGGCCAATCTCCAAGCAGTCAATAAGGAGGACTGGTGTCTCCTTAGGGTCTACAAGAAGTTCTGGCAGCGAGCAGCAACTCAAAGCGCCGGCATGCCCCAAAGTGGAACCTGGTCGGTGGATGAAGCAATAGGAGTAGGCAGCTAGGAAAATGGTCCCTCTGGTCATCTGTGGTGATAATGACATAAGAGCAGGTCGGTCCCCAGCCAGCAAGCCCAAAAGCGGTTTGTGATCCATAATTAGTTTGAAATCACGGCCGTAGAGGTACTCATGGAACCTTTTTACTCCGGCCACTGCAGCAGAGCCTCATGGTCCAGCTGGCTGTAGTTCCGCTTGGCAGCGGACAAGGGCCTTGAGTAATAGGCTATGGAAGCCTTAATTCCATTGGGCATGCGGTGGCTGAGGATGGCTCCAACACCAAACAGGAAGCCTTACAAGTCAACACTAGTGGCACGGTCTGGCTGTACTGCACCAGGAACGTGTCTGCTGACAGAAGTCTTTTTACCACAGCAAATGTGGCAGCCTCAGCTCTCCTCCAGAACCACTTCATGTTCTTTGCCAGGAGATGATGTAAGGGCTCAGCAACGGTGGCTTTCTGTTTAAGAAAGACACTGTAGAAATTAAGGAGCCCGAGGAATGCCTGCAGCTCGGTTTGATTGCGAGGTGTAGGGGCGTCCTGGATTGCTTGAATTTTTTTAGTAGTTGGGTGAATCCCAGAGCCATCGATTAGGTACCCTAAGAATTCAATCTTTGGCACGTTAATTTGGCATTTTTCTTTTTTGAGATGGAGGCCTTTGTCTCGAATTCTGGTCAAAACAGTTTGCAAACATTTGTGCCTCATTTGTGGCCAATACCAAGATGTCGCCAAAATAGGGGACAATTCCTGGAATCCCCTGCAAAAGCCATTCCATGACACTTTGGAACAGTCCAGGGGCGATACTAATGCCAAATTGCAGGCGGTGACATTTGAATGCACCCTTGTGCATCACAGTGGTTTGGGCCTCCGCTGTAGCACCATCTACAGGCAATTGTTGGTATGCCTGCACCATGTCCAATTTAGCGAATACTTTGCCAGGGCCTAAAGAATGTAATAAATGCTGTACAATGGGTACAGGGTAAGCGCTTTGTTGTAACGCTTTATTGATTGTGCATTTGTAGTCCATGAAGATGTGGACAGACCCATCAGATTTGACAGGTGTCACTATAGGGGTTTCCCAGTGTGCGTGATCAACTGGCTCTAGGATTCCCTGGCCTACGAGCTTGCCAATTTCCAGATCAATTTTTGGGTGGAGAGCGAAAGGTACTTTCCTGGGTTTTAGCCTTATGGGGGCTATGTTGGGGTCTCAATTAAAAGAGATTGGAGTCCCCACATACTTACCCAGACCGGTGCTGAAGACATCCTCAAACTCCTTAAAAATTGCTTCAGCACTCTCGTCTTTCAAGGCATTGATACCCGTCACTTCTAGGCCCAGGGCTTCAAATCAGTCAAGCCCCAGGAGGCTCTGCAGGTGACCGCTGACCACCATCACTGGGATCTGGCCAGTGTATTTCTTGAATTGCACCCGGAAGGTGCCCTGGCCCACGATGGGGATGCGATTCCCCTCGTAATCATGAAGGCTGATGTCAGGGACATGTAGCTGCTACTTCTTCAGGCTAGAGATAGCCCGCTTGAGTGTGGACCATGGTATGATGGTCAGTGATGACCCCATGTCGATCTCCATTTTGCATAGAGAGTCCTCAATGAGGACTGTGACCTTCAGCTTTTTTGGCCGCCTAGTGCAGACTTGGCTGATTGAGGTGTGATAGGTGACTTTGATGTCACCTTTTGCATGCCGTGGTGGCTTCTGCCATGCCCCTTGGTTGGGCCTCTGCTGGTGATTAGACCGCCTTCTTGGCTGCCAGGTCATCGTGAGGTGCTCGCTTCTGCAAACTTTGGTGATGTGCCCCTTTCACTCTCAGCGCTGGCAGATAGTGTCGTGGAAAAAAAACAAGCCGATCGGGCATGGTCTCCTCCACAGCTAGTGCAAGGCAGGAATCATGGTTTGAATTTGCGCGCAGGCTTGGTGCGACTACTGCGCATGCAGCAGCTGTCATCTTCTTCGCCCTCTGAGCTCTTGGTCTCTGCAGCCTAACAATGTACGGGTGTGTTCTTTTCCACGTCTTGTGTAGTGCTTTGGTGCTGCAGTGTTTCTGTTGACTTGACAGTCGATTCTGATGCCCTGGCTTCATCCAAGGCAATTTGTAGAGTGAGGCCAGATTTGGCAAGTAACCTCCTCTGTAAATTAATGTCCCATACACCGCAGATGATGCGGTCAAGAATAAGCTCATCTAGGTCTCGGAAATTGCAGTACGCTGCGGCCTTTCGTAGAGCCGCAACGTACTCGTTGATTGATTCACCTTCCTTCTGGTTGTGAATATTAAATTCGTGCTGGTGGACATGCTTAGATGGCTTAGGAGCGTAGTGGATCCTCAGCGTCTGCTGGAGCATGGGCCAAGCAACCGATTGTAGTGGCGTAGGCTCTGACAAGTCTTTGGCAGTTTCGAACACTTCCGATCCACAGTAACCAAGGAACATGTTCATCTTGCGGCCTTCAGAAAGGCCCATGAGGTCATTGGCTTCGAGGAAGCAGTCGAACCTCAGCATATACGAATCCCAGTGCTCAGTGACTAGGTCATACGGAGTCGGTGGGGCGTGCATGGCCATTTTGTGTTCTAAGGGTGTTTTGAGTTTGCCACTCAAAAATGGCTACTCGAAGCCGTGCTGAGTTCCGGGCTGGATTTACTTGCTGGATTGCTACGCTCTTTTTGGTTCACCTAGTTGCCTTCCAATCCCATCTTTGCCAGTATTAGATTGGGTAATGGAAAGGCAAACACAGGCTAAAGGTAACAACAGCTCTTTATTAACTCAGTAGCAACTATGTACAATCCAGCGAAGGTTGAGTCTGACAGCAGCCCTTTTATAGGGAGCTGTCAGACCCTTCAACCAATGAGATTAAACCTCTGTTCCCACCGGAACAGAGGACCTTGGTGGAAACCGTTATAACTGTAGCAAGTATCTAACAATAAGAGATATGAAAAATTTGCTTAAGCTTTTTTTCGGCTCAAAACAAAACAGAATAGCTTACTAAGTCTTTGTAAATACAGTATAAATGATGTTAAAACCATATTAGCTTTAGGAAACCTTAAAATTGTAATGCGACATCTCTAATTTCTTCCTCTTGGTTAAATGTTTTAAACTGTATTTTTTTGGATTAGTTTTTATGTAATTTAAAGTATTTAACTTTGCATCTATCTACTATTACAATCACCAGAAAGAAAATAAGATACCTATTAGGAATTTGATCTCTATATAGACTCTTACAGAAACTATGTCATATAGTTTGTAATCCATTTAGTTTGCAATCCATTTAGTCATAATTAACCAACCAACTGATGTTCCCATTTGTTGACTTGTACTGTACAAGGGTGACTAGTCCCGTGGGGATCCATACCCTCACCACCCTTCAGACCTTCCGCGCAGCCCTCAAGAACTGGCTATCCTGCCAGGCCTGGGGGTAGAGATTGATCTGCCCCCACCCGAATGTTGGATGAATGTTGTTTACTTTTTAATTATATGTCATGTTATATGTTATTGTCTGTATCCCCCTCCCTATAAGTTGTTAGCCGCCCTGAGTCCCCTCAGGGAAAAGGGCGGCCTATAAATAAACCTATTCAATTCAATTCAATTCAATTCAATTCAGTTCAATAAAAATAATCAAATAACATAAAGATTATTGGCGTTGGCTCAATGAAAAATTTTCATATTTTTTTTTGGCAAAATGCTCTGTAAATTCCTAAAGATAATTCCTTAAATATTAAAAAAATAAATGAAAACTAGGGAATAATTATTAATAAATTGATGGAAATTTGAAACCTGTAGTATTTTATTTCCCCACAAAGGGAGGGGGGCTGAAAATACTTGCTTAAGATATTTCTTAGAAATAGAAATAGGAAATGGATAATGCAGTTTTGATTAAATCAACATATATATTTCAGGTTACAGTGCAAGCAAATAAAGCAGTTTAAAAAATTTGATCATAATTACAAATGACATCTGTAACACTTGCCTGAAAGCTTATAAGAAGAAATATCAATACTTAAGGGCCATGTTGATGACTTCAGTTTTTTCAGCAAACTTTGATAAATATTTGTCCATAGTGTCTCTTTATTATCTGTGGCAATGAACCTAAATATTAGCAGCACATCTGCCAGGACACCATCATTCCCCGGGCTGCAAAAGAATAATACAAACAGCTGACCAAACAAGCCAGAATATTTTCTATACTCTGCAGGGGTATTCCCCCCCCCCCCCACATATACTATTCACTCAAGGATTTCGGGCAAGTAAGACAGAAAAATTAAAATACTGTTTCCATCCATAAAGGAACACCAAGTAGAAGCACCAGACCGTTTGCTGCTTAACTCATTGCTTTTTAGAAATGGATGAGACTCAGCAGATACTAGGAAATGTTTTGACATAAATTTGGGTGACACCATCAAAAATAGCTATGATTTGGGATGGAGAAAATATAGGGATCTGTGAGAGGCACAGAGCTTTTTCCTGTTTTAACTCTTTCCCCTTCTCTTTTCATGTGCCAATCTCGCAAATAAACTTTATTCATTGGTGATTGTTTGCCTATGAATATTTGCCCCAAATTGCCAGAAATATGGGTATGCTGAAAAATATGGGGGTAGGGAACAGAAGCAGGATAATGCCTTTCATCTGCCTAAATAAATAAGACAACATTGTAGACTTTCCAGTATTTGCAGAATACTGATCTGCCAGAATAAACTTCCAATAAATGGGGTGTTTTTGGATAAAAGAATGCCAATTTATTATGTGGTGTTTAAAGCCAAAATCTTGTGGATTAAGAGAAACAATAGAAAAGATTAGTGTATTCTAACATGCCTCCATCTCCTAGGTGTTAGACTCAACTAGCATAATTATGCTAGTTTTGAATGTGTGGCTGATTTATGGGAGTGAGAAACACCATTTGGGAGAAATAACCCAGATCTATTTCTTAATGTTGTCTGGACCATTTCATTTATAAATTTATTCTCATGTCATTGTTAGCGATTAATTCAACATCTATTCCCGAGTGGAATATTCAACTCCATACCTTAGCCTGACAACACGTTCATTAATGAGCCTGTTTTCTAAGGGAGTAGCGTGAAATGCTTGTTTAATCTGTTGAAAGGAATGAAAAGTTATCTTTAATATAAAAATGTTTTAAACAGTAGAAATGCAGCAGTTTCCCTACGTCTATGTCTCCAAGTCTGAAAGATGATTGACACAATGTTCCTATCATAGCCATACTAGTTTTGTACATGCCTAGAATCACATGCAATGGGAAAGGGCGGGGCTTTTAGGGTAACATATTCCATCATCTTTGCAGATTCTGACTATTCTTTTTCATAGACATCCATGTAGCAGTAAAAAAAACCAACACAGTATGAATCCATTAAAACAATCTGGCCAGGTTTAAAAGAGCAAACTTGATTATTCTTTCTTTATTATCTGAGTTAACATTTGTAAATAACTTGGATTTAAGGTTTGAAATTTTATAATAAAAAATGCTAGTGATATAATTAGGAGGAATAACACCCTAGAAGACAATATCAGGATTCAGCAACAAGCTGGAACAATGGATAAAAACCAGCAAATGTATCTCATCAGGAATATATTGTTTATTTTCTTCAACTTTCATTCTGCCTAGAGTCATTTGGAGATGACTTTAAGCAGCTTAAGTCTTCAATTTGTATTTTTTTTTAAAACCAAAGGTCCAAATGCAAGATAGCATGGCATGTGCCTTCGTAACTCACAAAATGAATATGAGCCAGTGCTATAAAGCAGATGGAGAAAAACAAATGAACAATTGGGATGCCTCAACAGAAATATAATGTCAAGAGAAGTCTTATTTCACTCTATTCAGAGTTTGGCAGACCACAATTAGAATACTATACCAAGTTCTGGTAAACATATTTTAAAAAGAACACTGAGAATCTGGAGATATTTGGAGAAAAGGTGATTTAGCAATGGAATAAACTGTCTTAGAAAGTGGTTGACTTTTTCATTAGATGGAGAATTTATATATTAAGAAGGGATTACTTGATCTCCAAGGTGTCTTCCATTCCTTCTATTCTACTAGTATTCTAATTATGGTTGGCTGGATAATAGGATAGGAAACTCCACAAATTTACCATCCCCTTAAGATAATTTCTTTCTAAAAAGAATGTATTTGGATCTGCAATAAAGAAATAAAAATTAAAATAAACCAAACATGAATACAAAAGATAAGCTTGCTTGGACTTTAAGCCTTTAAAACCCTTCTACAAATGGAAGCTATTAAATTGCAATATTAGATTGTGTAACCAGAATGAAATTGAGTTGTAGAAAGAGTTGCACATCTATTTAACAAACTAGGCTTTATTGACCATTTCAATGGGAATTTCCTCTAAGTTAGCCACAAGCTTATATTTGAAATAGAGGTGACAAAACTGTGCAACTTTACAATGAACCCTGGAGCAATCTCTGCCCTGTTGTCTTACCAAAGGATACGCATGTGGAGCTAATTTAAGTACCTCACCTAATTTTTCACTAGTACTATGACTTGTTCTAAGTGTTAACTTTTAATTGAATGGCTTCATATTAGGACTATCTTAACTTTGGACTAAGCTAGTTTAATGCCATATTTTGTTATTATTTGTCCCTGATATTGTATTTCTTGAACTTTAAAGTTGTGTTTTTTTTAGTTTCATACTTGAGAACCTGGCTTTTTTGAGGTCCAGGTTTAATCATTGATTGCATAGGTAATCTTTCACTTACAACCAATTGAGCCCCAAATTTCTGTTGCTACGTGAGATAGTTGTAAACTGAATTTTGCCACATTTTATGTCTTTTCCTGCCAGAATTGTTAAGTGAATCTAGCTGCTCCATTGACTTTGCTGGTCTGAAGGTAACAAAAAGTGATCACATGACCCCGGGACACTGCAACCATCATAAATATGAATCAGTTGCCAAGCGTCTGAATTTTGATTGTGACCATGGGGACCATGGGGATGTTGCAATGATCATAAATGTGAAAAGTCATGTTATAAGTCACTCTTTAAGTGCTGTTGTAACTTTAAATAGTCACTAAATGAACCATTATAAGACGAGAACTACCTGTATTCATTTATGGTACACACAAGCATATATCAACATTCTTGGAATGCCTTCTATCAATTGTTGCATGCTGTTATGAAACACTTAAACTCAACCCAAAGGGCATATATTTAATGTGTATCAACTACATAATGTTCTAAGCATATGTAGGAGTGTGTTTCCTTCATCCTGTGGCATGTGCCAAACCCAGCTAATGCATCTAGTTGGAAAAATATCTTCATGCTTGTTAATTCTGCTAGCAGTGCCATGTGTTGGGATACGAAAATATTGTCTCTGAATTAACTGAATATTTACAATCAAGTTGGCTCAATTGTCAATGACCACACATAAATAATTTTTCTCCAAAACTTTATGTCCTCAACTTAGTCACCCAGATCTTCCAAATAGTGCACACACCTTGCTGCTGAACATCTTATTTTTCTCTTTCCATCTTCTTCAGCATTATAGACTTTCTAAGGGAGCTGGATATTTGTGTAACATGTTCTTAACTTGATAATTTGAGCCTGTTCATGTATGCCTTGAGTTGATTTGTTCTATGAACCATTTGTTGTTGTTTTTTTGTTTTTCCATGGTATTCTCAGGAGTCTTCATCATCAAAATTTAAAAGCATTAATACTTATTCTATCCTGTTTCTTGAAAGCTCAATTTTCATACTTCATAAAGTGTCACATGGAAAAACATTACCTGCACCATTTCAATCTTTGTAGATATTGGCATATCCCAGCATCTGCATATTTTTTTTCAATGTCTTCACTGGTGCTCTACAAACTGCTAAAATACAGAACATTTCTTGACTGCTGGTTCTTTTACTGTTGATTGCAATGAGCCCCACTAGATACATAGACCAGACTGGGAATTAGCTTCATGGGTAGGCTAAAACTACTTTTATTGACATTTGCTATAATAACAGAATCTTGCAAGTCTGACTGTGCTTTACTTCCCCATTCTTTTATACTTCCATAAAATAAGGAAGCATCTGCCTGAGTCATTCACAAATATATCTATTATAGATTTAAGAACTGCTTCAGCTCCTTTGCCAAGCTCCAATAAGATAATCTTTCTTATTCCTTTAAATAGCTGATCCTAAAAGGCAGAAATTATCCACCAATTTTAATTCCTTGTCAATTCTAGGGCTGGTTGGGGCATCTACTGCTGTTAGTTTGGTCTTCTTTATATTTAATCTTAGTCCCTGACTTTAATTATTAGTGATACCATATCATTTGACTCTCAGAATAGTATAATCAATGTAGCTCAAATTACTGATGTCTCCTTTTCTAATTTTAAAATCATGCTCATATTCTTCTAATTCATGTTTCTTCAATGTATATTCAGCATACAGTATATATTTATTTGAATAAATAAATGATTATTAACAGAACCCATTGTTTCTTATGGAATATTTTTTAGGTGGCAGAGAGTGCAGATGAGATAGAGATTCATAAAAGCTGCTAGGAAGTTTGTGCAGTTTACTAAAGGGAAAGGAAGGGCTTACAATTTGCAGAATCCCACATCAACTTCCAAATAAAAGAAACAGAAAGACGGGGAAGGATTGTCCTTTCCCAAAGTTTCTGTGTCTGTCTGTGTTCTTTTCCTTCTCCAGAATTTAGAACATTAAATGCATTAAAAATCATTAACACTTACCAAAATCTCAATACTTCTGCTCAGTTCTCTAAATTCTGCTGAAGTCTGTTTGTCATAGCTAGGCTGATATTGCTTATTTTTGATTTTAAAGGAAGCATTGTAAAAGAATAGCTTCTGATCTGCATATGAATAGGGAAAAATGAAAGTATTTATACTATAGTATCAATTAATTTACAAGAATGAGACACAATTAAGCAATCATCAAAATAAGAAATTTTCTAATAATTTAGAGGTTTTATAGGATTAACTATTATAAGGTGAAAGATATACTTTAACTCTGAAGCAAAGGATTTTAATATATTTCCCATATTTTGTATGGGAAGAATGTAGGTCAAGTAGAATAAATTGACCTGGATTATGAATGGTATCTCAAAAATTGGTCCTAGATAAGTAAAGTAGTTGCATTTTGGAGCTATCAGATAGCGTGTATGTTAAGTGAAAGAAGCCATGCTAGTTAAAACAATTCCACATCTACAAAAATAATCAACTATGTCTTCTCATTCTTGATAATTGGTTAGTCTCAAGATTGATTTTGTTTTTCATCCTCCTTTCAGAATCTCCAGTGAAAGGATTACAATTTCTTGGTGAAAGGCCAGAATCAGGCTACTTTCTGCTAGGATGCAAATGTTGCAGTGTACATGTAGTCTTAGTATAAGCTTACTGATATATAGAGAAGCTTTTCAATCAGATTCCAATCCTGTAAAACAAAACATGAGCAGGTTCTTCCTTTGACTTATCACCATTCACTATCTCATCAATGTCCATTGGGCTTATTGTGCCAGGGGTGGTCTTCAAGTAGCTTACTAATTCTATTACCTTATATCTAAATATTAAGACTTGTGGCAGCTCTAACAATATTTCAGCCCTCCAAAATAGACCAGACTTGGAAGTCAAAGATAGGTAATTAATACAAGGAATCCTCAGCTTACAACCATTCATTTAATGACCATCAAAGTTACAACAGTACTGAAAAAACTGACTTATCACCATTTTCCACACCTACAACCATTACAGCCTCCCTTTGGTCACATGATCAAAATACAGATACTTGGCAACTGAGATGAATTTATGGTCATTGCAATGATCCAAGGTCAGGTGATCACCTTTTGTGACTTTCTGACAATTAAAGTCAATCATTTAACAACTACCAGTGTTACTAATTTAAAAACTGCAGTGATGTACACAACAACTGTGGCAAAAAAAGGCCTTAAGATTTGGTAAAACTGAACGTCTTGCTTAGCAATGGAAATTTTAGGCTTCGTTATGGTCTTAAGTCAAGGACTACCCATATTACTTTTATTGCAGGTGGTCCTTGACTTAACCATAATTGGGACAAAAAAATTGTTATTAAGTGATACAGTCATTAAGAAAGGAACCACATCACCACATTCAATTTTGCAATCTTTTTTAAAAACCACAGTTGTTAAGCACGTCACTGTAGCATTAACTGACACATCACCTGACCACAGTTTGTGATCTTCCATGCCAGCTTCCCTATTGATTTTGCTTGTTGGAAGTTGATTGGGAAAGTCAAAAATAGGGATCATATGACTGCATAATTCCACAACTATTGAAAGTGCGAGCCAGTTTCTGAGCAACCCAAATCATAATCATGTAACTGTATAGATATTGTGATGGTCAAAAATGTACTGACTGGTCATTAGTCACTTCTTTGAGTGATGTCATAACTTCAGACTCTAAATAAATGGCTGTAAGTGCAAGACTACTTGGTTATAGTCACAGAATTTTGCAACCTCTCTTTTTTCTTCATGAGAAATAGGGAGGGTCATGCTTGATATGCTTTCTCAAATTACATTTCTGCCCTGGACTCAGATGTTGTTATATCTGACCATTGTTTTGGTTGTAGCTCTTCATCCTATTCCTCAAGGTTATTCCTTTTGCCCATTACACAATGCTGGCAGGATCATACTTTGCCTTGGGTGATACACCAACACAGAAATCAGACAGGAAAACATTGCTAATCCATAATTAATACTTTATGTTGTTTGGCAGATGATCTGGCTTGAAATGATCCAGTTGAAATAAAAGTAGCTATAAATTCTTCAGGAAAGAAATGCACAACGTAATTTTTTTCTTTCTGATTATTGAAAGATTTTCAAGCACAAAGCCATTCAAATCATATTGACTGAAAAAGAAATATACTTACCATATATCAAAAAGTACACAAGCAAACCAACGGCAGTGGCTAAGACCAGCAATACCGCTACCACAATTAAAGCAATCATCCATGGCGCCAGAGGACTGGTTCTTGATTGAGACATTCTGAGAAGATGGGCAAACATAAGATGTTGTAGGAAACAAGTGAACCTTAAGAAATGCAGTTAATTTCTGCTATAATCTGCTTTTGGATTGAGGTTGATGATGATGATGATAATAATGATAATTATATTTAATGTTTATGCACATTAAATGTTTCACAAATGAATGAATTAAAAATACTGCTGAACTAATAACATATTAACTGCATTAATCTTCATTCATTCTTTCTTTATTTCATCAATTGCGATGGTAGTTGCAATTGCAACTTACAATTTCAATAGTTGTAGGCACACATCAGGGGTGGGTTCTGGCCAGCTTTACTGCTGGTTCGTTTGTGCACGCGCTGGATGCTCACCGCACGCCCATGCACAATTCAATTAAAATTGTTCTGTGCAGAACTCAAAAACAAGATGTTGACAGTGCCAACTGGAGAACCATTTTGGGGGCATGGCAGGCCTGGGTCACTGCCAGTTCCAGTGACCCAGGCCACTATGCCACTACCAGTTCAGCCAAACCAGGCTGAATCAGTAGTAACCCACCTCTGGCACACATTGGTTTAAAGCGAACAGATAAGGAAAATAAGAAAAGTAATGGCACTTGAGGGACCCAGAGCACAGCCTCCTTGTTGGATCTAATGGGCCGGGAAGGAACAACTATAGCAAAGTACCCACAAATAATTATTTACTTTGAAATCTTTTTGCCATCTCCTTTGTAAATTATATAGAACTCATAATTGAGGCAGCACACTATAGAGACATTTGACTATTTAATTTAGTTCTCATATTTTGCAAAACCGCATCAGATATTGTTCTACATTCAATTATCACTCATTTAAAAGGGGAAAGTTTGACCAAGTCCACTTGTTCACTTCTGATCATGGTCATGCAGAAGATTAGGTACTACAAATATAAGTAAGATCCAGCACAAGCGAAGAAATTCAGTCATGCTTTTTATAAAAAGCTTTTGTCATATACAGCGGCCATTGGTTTTCTAGTGTCTTTAATATTCATTCTGAACTATAAGATCAATATCCATGCTTAAAATAAAGTGGGAAACCTGCAGTCCTCAGCTACATCCTGGATTTACAGTTTTAAAACTGGCTGTGCTGCCTTTTCCAAATTAAATGTGCAATACTGCAAATTCCCTTCAGATTTGACTCTATCTCTGGCTCCAGCTCTATTCTTCTTAAACTAAATATTATTATATCCTAAATATTATTACCTCCCTGTGTATGTGTATTCCCGTACACATGACATGCACTAACTAAGCTTACCAAATAAATAGACAGTATAGGCTTTTCTTTACAGTTCCATTAAAGTGCCTTCCTCTAGTCCTTGAGTCTGAGAAATTCTTCCCAAATCACCCGGATCCACTCTCCACCAAGTCTGTCATCCCAAGTTCCAAATATCCCAAACAAATGCATGCTCCAGGGGAGTATCAGTGCTTTTAATAAGGGCCATAGATAACAGCATCCATATATATTCCACGGAGTCCACAAATGCCGTTAGTGTACAGCTAAAATGCTTTCCTTCCAAGGAATAAACAGAATTAGAACCAAGTGATGCCTACCACCTTGTCAGCAGAAGGAGGCAAGGAGTTTGCCTGAAGCAGCAAGCAGGCTTAGCCAGCCAATATAGCATGTGAATTGGTAAAACCTGTATGCAAACAGCTTCTCACATGCATTTGACATGTGAGAGTAGTGCACGGAAGATAGGGCTCCACTGTTCTTTAATAGTAATGAGGACATTTCTTTCATGATTAATACATAAAGGAGCATTAGGCATTTTAGGACCTTGAGCACTACACCCTATTATTTCTGTACTATTTGCTCCCGGGGATGCAGCAAAGTTTAGTACTATTAGACTAGCCCCATTAGGAAATCCAACTTATGAGTAATTGCCTGGGGAAAAAGGGACTCAGTGGAGTTTCAGGACTGTCCAAATCTTAATCCGGAATTGCCTCTCATTCTCGGACTCTGAAAGCAAATTTGTGTATAGACTTAATTAATAAATGCTTAATTAATATACAATTAATGTCAGTGCCTAACTTAATGCTTAAGAAAAACTTCTATCTCAAGCATTTGAATGAGCTGGACATGCACTCATGTCATCAACTGAGGCAACCTAACAAGTGATGAATATAGCATATGTCCATGGTGGCGAACCAATGGCATGCATAGAGGTGGCAGGCAGAGTCTTCTGTATGGGCATGTGCACTGTCGCCCCAGCACAGATGAAACGCTGCCAGATATGCACCGAAACAAGCGATGGGCAGAACAGGGCTCTGATTGGTGTTTCACGCCTTAAATTGATACACAGCTGAGGGCCTGTTTGTGAATGCTCCCTGCTCCTTTCCTTCTATTTCAAAAAACCCTCCCCAGCCTTTCACTTTTTCCAACACTCACCGCCCCCCCATTCCCTCTGGTAGTTCTCATTTGCTTGCCTTCTTTCAAAAATTACACCGATGCACAAGCAAGTAACCAGTGCATTGATGAGACCTAATTGCAAAGAGTGTGTGTGTGTGTGTGTGTGTGTGTGTGTGTGTGTGTGTGTGTGTGTGTGTGTGTGTGTGTGTGT